CCCCCCAACCACCAAACCCTCACATGTTGTCACGCCCTCTCACTCTCCATAAAGTAAAATGTCTTTTCGAATAAAAATGGACTCGGGTACTCCAAGACGCAATGTACAAATGATATTACTATTAGATTTTTTTTTCTAGTGCGTTCAGTACTGCCCGATTTGACTTCCTTCCTCGCATGATCTCCGGAATGAGAACACAACTGTTCGTTTAGTCTATTTTAGAAAACGTGTTGGTGGTTGATTGTCGGATGCTCTGGTGCGGATTGCTGCTTCTTCCCTATCAAACATCAATCGTCCTTACATAGCTCTACTCCTTTTTGTGTTTGTTACTCTCGAGTAAAACATCTAATCGTCGCCTATGACTTTGTTGTGTTGCAACTGCCGTGAAACTCTTTCTAAAACTCCTCTCCAACTAGCTGTCTTCACCAGTAATGTGACCCCGCAAAGTGCTGTTATAAGCATTAGTATAGCATGTTTGTAATGTTATACATCTAGGAGATGCCTCCAATTCTGTGCACTTGAGGTACGCGTGCTCTTCATCGAGATAATTAGTGTTTGTGAAGAGACCATTCTGAAGTATTTTCATAATAATAAATATAGCGTCAGAAATATAAATCAGGTACGCTTTTAAGACCCCCTTTTGCTTTCATTCGTGCAGCTTTGAACCTTTACTGAAAATGCAAGCTCACTCTTTTTTTAAAGTGGAATATATTTTAAGGTACTAATGCCTCAATTTTGCCAAGCCTGATTTTTAAGGTTGGTTTGGAGTGACCGTATCCGGGGCGTCTCTTAATATAGATGAAATATTAATGTGTCTGATAATTCCGAATTTATTTGGCTTTAAATTGGTATAGATCTATGCTTCATGAGTGGGTTGTGCAAGGTTTTAACACGAGGATTTTGTGATTACATTTTTTCAAGTTTCTTTTGGACGCCACTGTATATTTAACTGTCTGCTCATGAATGTGCACTCGTTACATGATGTGTATTTGTGGGTACAGATATAAGTGTAATATAATGTGTATTCAGGTATGAATGTGTGTGTTCTTATATTAGTGGGGCAGCGTGGTGAAATCAGGCGCTCGTCAAAATAATGAAAGTCAAGAAAATGGCATTTTCCGCAGGTTTTGAATTTTTATTGAATTTTTGTAAGGGAAGAGGGGTGGGACAACACCTTTCGTTCCCACCAAATAGCAAATTCCTGGGTTGATTTTACTGGAAAAACGTTGATTAAAGGCATAAAAGATGTAAATTTTCCGTTTCCACGGACTCTCAAGCTAAGGAAATAATTCTAGCAGCCAGTTAATCGCTAATTTTACTTCTGATACCAGGCGACCCCCATTTACTACTTTAATCGCCAATATCTTGATTTGTATCCAAGGAATATTGTCTTCAGCAAAAGGAAGGCAAATGGACAGGCTTTAAGATGATACCAACAACTCCATATGTCCCAAAAGTGACGAGCGCCTGATTCCACCGCGTCGTGACATACTATGTAACAATTACCTGCGTGCGTGTGTGTGACATCTTTCATGAAAGGCAGTCCCGTTTGTGTGAGATAAAATAACCACCTTTTTATCTCCCTACCTGATTAATGAATCTGATAAACCGTTAAGTAACGGGACTTAAGTTCCACTGCGCTTACAAAAATAAAACGATAACCTGAACAGTTTTCCAACGTTACATCAGCTGTCCCAGTATGGCCTTTTTCTTGGACGTAAATAATTCAGTAAGTTTTACTATTACTATTCTTCTATGTTTTATTAAGATGTTTCTCTTTTTGTTGCAGCTGTTGTTGTTGTTGTTGATTTTTTTGTTTTGTTTTGTTTTATTTTGTTTTTTGTTTTTTGTTTACTTTACCAGTAGCATAAAAATCTCAGAGATTTTGAAAAAGCGGTGTTAAATCAGCATAATTTATTATTTTGTTATAAGTCGATTTTAAAAAGATAAGAATAAAATTATCATTTAGTAGATGGACATTGGCCTACCTCAAACTCATTGGTCTACGTCTACCTACACACTAATAATAGAAAGTGCTCAATGTCGGCAGTCCTTTTCCATAGTACATAAGTAGAGCCAAGTAACTTTCCCGAATGTAATCTTGTCATTTAGCCGTCTCAACTAAACTGAGTCTATAGTAATGTTCATTGCAAAATACTGAATTTGCATCATGCGTGTGTTTGCGTGTATGTGTGTGTGTGTGTGTGTGTGTGTGTGTGTGT